GACCTTAAACGAATTTGGGTAAATACATCTCATACTACTGATTTACTGGTAGACTCGACACAATACTCAAATGCGAATATAACAAAAATAAATTCTTATAAAGGTAGCTAGATATAGGATGATTTTGATAGTTAGTTGTCATGGTAATCTTAGTATATTTTTCGCATTTAAGTGTTGTTTCGAGACTACCAGTAAATCAGTAGTATGAGATGCAGAAACTGCAGTCCACTCCTGCCTGGATGATAACAACTGTTGGGAAAGCAAGGCTATGTGAAATTTAATGAAAACGTCAGCTCTCCTCACATGGTTGTGGGAAAATTATTCCACCAGTCCTTTATGACCTTAAACGAATTTGGGTAAATACATCTCATACTACTGATTTACTGGTAGCCACGAAAACAATAGTCAATTCGAAAAATGACATCAGCAACAGCAGCATCAGCATCATTTCCACCTTACGCTGTTTGGGATGACGACAACCTTTACAAAATTGGCAGCGTTCATCACGAAGTTTGCCAGTCGCCTGATCCATTCGTGTCACCTTTGCGCCTCTTTGATCCGCGCCCGATGGGCTAAAGCAAACTCTTGAACGTCCCTGTTGCTCCATTCCACCTACACACGAGCCATGCAAAACTGGCCATCCCGTAGCAACATGGTTGCACGCAAATGCATCCATTTGACTCAGTCGCAGACGGCAAGCCTTCAGACACGACGGTGAATATGACCACCAAATAGTGGCAAACAGAGATTGGGAAAAGAGGAGAAGAGAATGGAAACTGGCAAATGGTGAATAGGAAAGTGGCATACAGTCTAATCGTGGATGAAGTATGAATATTGGATTGGATGAAATGGAAAATGGAGAATGGAATGGGGATTGAGTAGAATGGAATGTTGAAGAGAGAAAATGAAAAAAACAGAAACAAGGCCAATGAAGAGTGTGCAACGAAGCGAGAGGAGAACGGAGAAGGTAGAATGCTGGTTGGAGATTGGCGGACGGTGAGTGGAGGGGGTGGAAAGGAGGAGGAGGAGGAAGAGGAGGAGGAGGAGGGAAGAATTGTAACCTCGAGTGTGAAAAGACAATGGCAAATGTAGAATAGCCAAGAAAGAATGAAGAAATTGGAGTGTGTGATGAAGAATGGAGAATGGAGTTTGAAAATGAATGAAGCAAGCGGGCTCGTGTAGAAGAAGAGTATGGAATAGGGAAGGGAAAATGGGCAATGATGACTGAGGGTGGAGTATGCAGAATGGGGAATTGTGAATGGAGAGTGTAAAAAGTTGAATGTTGAAGGCTGAATGGAGAATGAAGAATGGCATTTGCAAAGTGAAAAGAGGAGAGCGGTGAAGTAATAATGGAATATATGAAGTTATGAAAGGAGAATTAAGATTCTACGAAGCACAGTGATAGGAAAAATTGGAATGTAGAATGGGGAGTGGAGAAAGAATAATTGATTATTGAGAATGGAAAATAGGACTTGGCCGACACAAAATGGAGAATGAAAGAATGAGAATGTTGAATTGGGAGAAAAAAATGAAAATGTCGTACGTAAAAGGGAGAATAGAGAATAGAAAAAGGAAAATGGAGAATTGGCAATAGAGAAGGTTGATCAGACAAAGCATAAATGTTTATCAAAAATGGAAAGTAAGAAACGGGGAGAACAGAATGGAGAATGGATAATTGAGGATGTAGGACGTAGATTGGATGATTGGGAATTTAAAAAATTGGGCAAAAATAGGAGAATAAAAGAATAGGAAAGTAGAATGGGGATTAAAAATTAAGAGAATGGAGAGTGGAGAATGTTGAGTGGGCAAAATATAATTGTTTATTAAAATTGGAGAGTAAGAAATGGGGAAAGCAGAATGGAGAATGGACAATTGAGGATTTCGAACAAAGAGTGGATAATTGGTAATGTAGAAATTGAACGAAAATGGAGAATGAAAGAATAGGAAAGTAGAATGGGAATCAAAAATGAAGAATGGGGAGTGGAGAAAGAATAATTGATTATTAAGAATGGAAAATAGGAATTGGGCAACGCAAAATGGAGAATGAAAGATTGGGAATGTAAAATGAGGAGTAAAAAATGAAAATGTCGGACGTAAAAGGGAGAATAGAGAATATAAAATAGAAGATGGAAAATTGGGAAAAGAGAAGGTTGATTAGACAAAGTATAATTGTTTATCAAAAATGGAGAGAAAGAAAACGGGAACGCAAAAGGAGAATGGAATATAAGGAAGGTAAAATAAGAAGTAAAAGAAAGGAAAATGTGCGACGTAAAAGGGAGAATAGATAATATAAAATGGAGAATTGGGAATAGAGAAAGTTGATTAGACAAATATATAATTGTTTATTAAAAATGGAGATTAAGAAATGGGAAACGCAGAATGGAGAATTGATAATTGACGATGTAGGACGTAGAGTGGATGATTGGGAAATTATAAATTGGACAAAAAGTGAAGAATAGAAGAGTGAGAATTTACAATGGGAAATTGAAAAAAAAGAAAAACGTGGGACATTTGGAGATAGGACAATGGAAAATAATAACTTTTGGATGAAGGGAAAATAGAAGAGAATAGAGAATGGAGCATCATGGATGGTTTATAGTATGGATAAACGTGGGAGTTATCTGATGAAAAGTAGATGCATTGTAATTGGAAATAAAAAATGGAGAATGAAGAATGTCGATTTGAGAATGGTCAGTTGCAATTAATTGCGAATGGATAATTTGCAATAGTG